TCTGTTTCTACAGTAGAATTTCTGATTTTAACCAGAGCCTCAAAAAAGCAGTTGCATACTTTCAGCCTTTACAAAGGAAAGATAATGTCCCTTTGGATTTCTTAGCATTTTGGTATAGTGAGGCGGTATAAGTAACCGAAAAACCTCCTTGTTAATTTTCAGGAACTTATCACGTTTCCCAGGTGGGACAGATGCTTTGGGAGAGGAAGGAGAAAACGCCAACACCATATGGGATACAGTTTTGGCAGCACATGGTCAGTATCCTCCTCCTGTAAACCAGTGTCTTTAAGATGATGCAAAGTCTGAAAACGAAACAGTGATTGTTGTCCTTAAAAAATTCCGCAATTATTGTGTATTAATTTTAAAATCTTTCAAAAATTGTTTCAGAATGCTCAAGAGCTGATGAATCTGAAGATTTCGAATGTCTGAAAAAGAGTACAACAAGCATGTAAAACACAGAATACCCATTTTTGGAATAACCAGAATGTAATGGTAATTTGAGACCACGTGTACGTCATGTACATTTGCAATTGCCTCTTACAATAAAAGAAAAGCTTCATGTAACAGATCTAGAGCCAATCAAATTACTAGGAGTCTACATTGATGAGAATCTCAACTTTTCAGGCACGTAGCCAGTATTTTTTAGGGCGGTGCGATTCAACAAGGAGACGGACCAAACGAGGCCGGAGGTGCAACTCTCTAGGGGTAAAATTCGATTGTCAGAGACTACATTAAGAATATGGATATTTTTCAATTTTTTTGAACTTCCATCTGATTCCTTTAGCCTTTTTGGTTCCTTTTTTTTTTTACAAAGACTACTTACTTTTACAATTTCAGAGAGTAGCAGATGTCAATGTTACTAAATAGAAAGAAAAAAATAAGAAAAAAAGTGGTAAAACCGTATTATTCGCTAGTTTTGCTGCTAATCATCATGATCTTTCAGTGTTGCGCCAAACGCAAACCTCCTTGGGTGCTTCTTAGCAAACACCTCAGCGACTTTTTTCACAACATTGTGGTCTGCTTATTTAAACCAAGTTTAGACAGCATTTATGAAAGTCATCGTCTCGCCCATGTTTAAACCATGAATGACAATTATTTAAACACTGTTCTTCCCTAAGCTTCTTTAAACCATGTCTGAACATCGACTAAAGGACAACAGAAAGTTAAAACCTGCTCGCAGGTAGGTTTAAACCTTGATTTATGGTTTTTTCATGGTCGTTCATTTCTAAATGACCTGAAATAGACGGACTACTGAACAACAGAGAGTTCAGAGAAAAAGAGACTACCTCAATCAAATCAAAGTACATGTTCAACAAATTCCGCACCTTAGGGATAGTTTTGCGTTTCTGCCTTATAGAAAAGAGTCAGTCACTGACCTCTGAAAAATTTTGGACAAAAATCTTTCTGCATTACACAAAGAGACGTCTACCGCTTACAACGTTGCTGCAAGTTTTTATTGCTTTGAGTTTTTATTCAACGGCTAGGGGCCAACTTTTGAGCAGATCATTGCCGATTTAATTGGTGTTTCTGTATTTCCTGTATACATACACTGAGCCATGCACAAGGTTTCAAGGGCGATTGTGAAGCGAAAAGAACATTCCCTGTCATTCCTTGAAAACTCGACATAAACCAAGAGAAAGCTTCATTGTTGGGGGGCGTTCAAAAATTACTGTACTGCTGACTATCCTTCTTTTCCCTCCTTTTTCGTGACATGTGCTTTTTTCTTGCGAGTAACTTCAATACAAACTGAGAGCTTTTTCTCAACTAGCTTTTCTTTGCGAATCGTATTCCTGGATTGGAGTTTTAGTTTCCGTTTGATACAATTTGGATTTTGAGAGTTTAACTTTTTCCCCTTTTTGTTGTCGTATCCTTTCTTTTTTACTTCTGGAAATTCTCTTCCCACCGGCCGTTATTAACAGTTTTTATTCTTTGATAAATTGGTGGTTTGACCAGATTTTATACCGACCATATGGAGTCACATATCTTCCAAAAGGGAATTAAATGTGCAAAGAAAGAACCCCACAAACAATGCTCCTTGTGAGACATTGTTTAGCTCAGTCACGTTTTAATAATGTATTTCAAACATGGTTCAACTATTGTTTATCGAGACAACGTCTTAACCGTGGCTCAGCCTTAAACACAGGTTAACTTAGACTTCGTTTAAATACTTGGCCCTGTCTGTTTAGATACCAGATGTGGCTAATAACAACCAGTGAAGAGGGCCTCCCTTGTACCACAAAGATTACCTTTTGGCCACAAGATACAGCAGATATTTTACACTATCCTTAAAGGCAAAGGGCTACACAAATGGAACAATTCACGCCTTTGTCGCCTTACAGTACAAGTGGATCCGAGATCTACCCTTTCTAACTATGGCGCGTTTATACTGTCAAAATTCAACATGTCAAATCGAGAGTCAACATTCCAAAATTAGCGCCATAGCTCCAATTCAGTCAACAAACCTTTTCTAAATCGAGTGCCATATTCTCGTAGCGGACGG